CATTGACCTTGAAAGCAAAAAACGGTTTCCGATCAATAACTAAAGAACCTTAAGGCTAGGAACTTCAAACTTGGTATGGTGATTGGTCATGACCAGTAGATGACTCCTATTGATTTTGGGGTCAAGGGGTCAAAGGTCAAGGTCACATTGACCTTGAAAGCAAAAACGGTTTCCGATCAATAACTAAAGAACCTTAAGGCCTAGGAACTTCAAACTTGGTATGGTGATTGGTCATGACCAGTAGATGACCCCTATTGATTTTGGGGTCAAGGGGTCAAAGGTCAAGGTCACATTGACTTGAAAGCAAAAACGTTTTCCGATCAATAACTAAAGAACTTAAGGCCTAGGAACTTCAAACTTGGTATGATGATTGGTCATGATCAGTAGTTGACCCCTATTGATTTTGGGTCAGGGGTCAAAGGTGAAGGTCACATTGACCTTGTAAGCAAAAACGTTTCTGATCAAATAACTAAAGAACCTTAAGGCCTAGGAACTTCAAACTTGGTATGGTGATTGTCATGATCAGTAGATGACCCCTATTGATTTTGGGGTCAAGGGGTCAAAGGTCAAGGTCACATTGACCTTGTAGGTAGAAACGGTTTCCGATCAATAACTAAAGAACCTTAAGGCCTAGGAACTTCAAACTTGGTATGGTGATTGGTCATGATCAGTAGATGACCCGTAAAGATTTTGGGGTCAAAGGTCAAGGTCACATTGACCTTTTAATTAAAAACGGTTCCTGATCAATAACAAAAGAACCCTTAGGCCTAGGAACTTCAAACTTGGTATGGTGATTGGTTATGACCAATCAGATTGACCCCTATTGATTTTGGCATTAAGGGGTCAAAGGTCAAGGTCACATTGACCTTGTAGGTAAAAACGGTTTCTGATCAATAATGAAAGAACCCTTAGGCCTAGGGACTTCAAAGTTGAGATGGTGATTGGTCATGATCAGTAGATGACCCCTATTGATTTTGGGGTCTAGGGGTCAAAGGTGAAGGTCACATTGACCTCTTAGGTAAAAACGGTTTCCGATCAATAACTAAAGAACCCTTAGGCCTAGGAACTTCAAACTTGGTATGGTGATTTGTCATGACCAGCAGATTAACTCCTATTGATTTTGGGATCAAGGGGTCAAAGGTCAAGGTCACAATGACCTTGTAAGTAAAAACGGTTTCTGATCAATAACTAAAGAACGCTTCGGCTAGAAACTTCAAACTTGGCATGGTGATTGGTCATGACCAGCAGATGACCCCTATTGATTTTGGGGTCAAAGGTCAAGGTCACATTGACCTTGTATGTTAAAACGGTTTCCAATCAATAATAAGAGAACCCTAGGCCTAAGAACTTCAAACTTGGCATGGTGATTGGTCATGACCAGCAGATGACCCTATTGATTTTGGGGTCAAGGGGTCAAAGGTCAAGGTCACATTGACCTTTCAGGTAAAAACGGTTTCTGATCAATTTACTAAAAACGCCTAGGCCTAGGAACTTCAAACTTTGTATGATGATTGGTCGTGACCAGCAGATGACCCCTATTGAGTTTTGGGTCAAGGGGTCAAAGGTCAAGGTCATGACCAGTAGATACTTTATAACCCTTATTAATTGTTTGATCACTGGGTCAGAAGTCATGCATAATAACCTTATCACATGACTAATTGGCTGCTGATAGGGGGCATACATGTTTTACAAACATATCTTGTTTTTAGAGAAATGCATCTTAAATTATGGATAAACCATGCATTGCAAGGAATTGGGGAGTGCGTGTGGCTGGTTTTATTGGCAAAAAAGTGATTGGCAAGCTCATTCCAGAGGTCTTAGGGGCCCAAAAAGCACCGGCCATGGGATTCGAACAAGCACCATAGTAGCCTGTGGCTCATATGGACCACACATTATATGCACTGATGTTTCAGCAAAGTATTGATGCTGTAGTAATCAGATTGTAAATATTCACCATTGTCTTGTAGTTCAATGAAGCAGAACTGACAATTTAACAGGACAAATGTGATTTATTAAATGTTGGAAATATAGCCATTTTCAGTGTAGTGAATCTTGATGTTTTGCTGTGTTGCAGAATGTGTTTGCTTATATATACACACAACAGATTTTCTAGTCATTAAACAGTGTAGTTTATGGATAATTGGCTCATTTAGAATAACACAGTTGATGTGATTGTTGTTGTTGTTGTTGTAGCAGATGCTACAGCAGTTAAATAAGGTTAGGTTTATAATGTCTAAACTGCTATTTCCATGCAGGCATGCATTTTTAAGCACACAATATTTAAGCCCTCCTGTGTGAATAAGCAAATCAAGTCATTGATTAAGTAAGAATTGTTTGTCTTTCTTTTTTAGATATCAGAATTACAGCATAAATGCCTCTTATAATTTCCTTTGACAATTTGTACTAGTGTTGCATATTTTTTCAGACCATGCAGTTACCAAAGCCGGGGTTTGAGTACAGGACCATAGCTTATACTGGTTAAGATCTATGGAAGAACTCCTTCAGCTCAGTTTGGCAGCAGATTTGTCAGGACACGTTGAGAAGGTAATAACTTATGTCTAGTTTGAAACTTCAGCTATTGACGGCAACGACTCCCAATGCTCGGGCAATATTTGGTAGATATTTTGATGTATATCAGGAGAAGATTTCTCTAATGTTTAAGACTTCTCAATGATTTTAGGTGGGAGACAGTATGTGCCATCATTTTTTAGCCTTATTTGTTTGAGAGTTGGCTAATCTTACTTTGTCAGAAGACATAGCCCATGGCCATATGGTAACCTCTTTGCTAAACTTAAGATTACCTCTGTTTTTCTTTATTGATATCTTAAGCAAACAATGTAGTGTATATATCTTGGTACTTTACTTTATTTACCATGGTATATAGGTAAAAATCATAATCAGTAAGTTTTATTGCAATATTGAAAGAAAAGGTTATGAAAAAAGCACATTTAATTGTGATTACTTGTATTTTAACCCAAAATTTCATGCTCTCATTAAAATAAATGGAGTTTATATTACATATTTTAAGCAATAAGGGCTTATTCTTTCATAAAAGTAACTAAATGACATTAGCCGGTAACAGTAAACTTTATTCGAAGAAAATCCATTGACAAAATCAAAAGATATGACAGAAATTGTGATATAAATTTTTGCGTAAAATTCTATTGGCCGAGGCTGATTTTTCGCATGAAGTTTCATATTTAAGAAATTGTACTGCATTAATGTAATTTGTTAGAGACATGTCAAACCTGTATGATTGTACTTGTATAACACTAAATTACTAGGAAATGAGTATAAATTTTGGCTTAACCCGGTACGGAATTAGACCCAACCCGTTGTAGTCTAGAAAGTAGTTCTTTAAAATTTTGAAGTGGCCCAATTTAAGTCATCACTAGTTAGATTGGTCATAATTAAAGTGTATTTATTGCATTTGTGTAGTTTTTGTGTGTTATATGATGACTTTAAAAGTTATTTTTTGTGTATTCTACAGGAACTCATTTGTTGGCGGAAGGATTAAAGATGTACCACCCACCAGCAGTCAGGAGTTTTTAAAGTGGTGAATTTCAACTGTGTTACAACAGAATGAAGATTTCTGAAAAAAGTAGATGGCTAACCTATTATATGTTGGGCCTCATTTGACTTAGATAGTGTTGATACAGTAATATAATTCATCAAGAACAGTGGAATCCAGAATTAAGCCTCTAATGTGACTGATCTACTATAGAACAAAGAATACGAAAATTCACCAGGCAGACACCATATGCATTTTTGAATTATTTTAGCAAAAAAGAAAGAATAGTTTTGCAAACTAGATGAATCATATGCATAGCCTAATATAGATTTAACGTTTCATTCGTGCGATATTTTAATTTTAATTTAAGTTTGGCTTACGGCAATTCCATATAAACATTAGATATGCGTTCTAGTGTTATTTGTTGTTGTTTGTTTGTTTTTGTTTTTTAATTTTATAATTTGAATATCGTGTACGTCCGTGTCTGCACAACACTACAACGTATAAAATATTAGAGGGAAATAAGGGGAGAGAAGGCAAAAAGTAAAATCATCAAAACCAAGCCTTAAGTGGAAAAGGAAGAAATAAAAAAAAACAAGATAATAAAATAAAATTGAAAAAAATATAAATGAAAACGATATCTCAAAAAATCTGTATCTTGTATTAAATGATTTTTGTGTGGTTATACTAGACTTTCGATCTGGTGCTGAAAAAGTGCGTATTTCAAATTCACTTATTAAGTATTTTTCGAGACGCTATTATTGTTCTAAGTCAACATCTATCGGTTTTGTTTAATTTTACGGCGCACCAATACAGTTAAGGTCATATGGCGCCGGAACGGGAAAGATGATTTTGGCTTACCGCGGATGTTAAACACTGTGAAATAACACCAGGGGTCAAACAGTCTCATGTGACTACGCAGGGTTAAACGGTGGATATAATTCCAATGTATCAGCCACAAGTAGAAGATTTGTTTTGTACATATTCATTCATATGGTCTACGTATCTACTACCATATTATAGTTTTGGTTATAATAGAAAATAAAAGTATAAATTGCGATTTAATATGTATTTGATTAGATGCCATTGTAAATGTAATTTTTATATTTTATAATCTTGCCTTTTATACAAACTTGAACCTAATAATATATAATTAGCAACTATTTGTACAAACTTAATTCAAACTTGTCTAAGTGTATTCATATGAATCATTAAACTATTTTAATATAAAAAGGGAATAATTGCCAAATAATGACAATCTAAATCTGTATTATGGAAAATAAATTGTACAAAATTATTTTAAAGCTAAATCATTCTTGATTTTATAATCACACTTATATCAACGGTGAAATTTAATAAAGTCTTCATTTTGAAGAATAAGCAGATACGTGCATGCAATTTTAAATTTCATATTCATATTTATTGTGTCAACATAACATAAAAGTCATAAAAGCTGTCACATTAATTCACTGCTTTACATGCACGCATATTAATCTTTCTTACACATAACCAAGTCCAAATAATCTGAGCCGCTAGAAATGCAAGCTCTTATTTTGATGATTTGTTTGAATTGTGCATGTGTTGTTATATTGTCGGGTGTTACATTCGCACAGCATCACCAGAAAGGATGGAAGCTTATTATTTATGATTGGAGAACTGGTGGATCCGCGCAGGCTGCTGCAGTGACTCTGAATGTGGAGTACATTAGCTTGATAATATCTTATGAACGAGTTGAAGTAAGTACTTTAATCAATATTTAGAATAATCACTTATGATTTGATTTTCTTTAGTTTTTATATAATTCTGTTGGTGAACACATGTATATATGGTTTTGTTCGACTGTTCTCCCGTCTCTGTTTCTAGCAGTTTATCATTTTGCATGTCAAATTAAATGATAAACATATTAAGTACTTGATGTGCTAGTACCATAGAAACAACATCGAGCTATTATGATCGATGTGGCGGCAACGTTATCATCTTCGTGCAAGAACTTTAATTTAATGTAGTCAATAATGCAAACAATTTGCCACGAAACTTAAAATTATTTTTATCATCACAAGGATAACAAAGGACATAATTCTGAAAGCTACATTTTTGAGTGAGTGTCCTACCTTACTTTAACAGACGAGCGCAGACACCTCATGCCGTATTCCTGTTATATATTGAGGTTGTCATGTGTGCTTTTATATATATATTGTAAACAACCATTTTACATATATTATTAATAGCTAATAGAAAATAGAAATCAGTAATAAATGCTTTAAACTATAAACAATTCATTTATTCTTTTCCACAAAATATCACATATCATTAAATCACATAGTAGTTTCTCTGTTATATAATTTCTTATAATTTTCAACATTAAATTCCACACTGTCCCACGTGGAACATATTTTTTATTATCTTTTCATGTTAAAAGTTGTTTTTTATAAACAGTTTATACAAGATCCCGGACGAGAGGAATACAGAGTTCTATTCTTAGCGAAAGATCATTACGGTCAACTGGTAAATATCTCAAAATCTTTTAAAATTCCATTTATATATTAAACTACGGAAAAAACTTTCATGGGTTACAATTACTTAAGACTTGTTGTATCATAAAAGTTTCATTGAAACTTTTTGGATAAGGAAAATTAAAATTATTTGTGAAATGATAAATAAATGGACAGTTTTGAAATCTTCCTTGTATTTCATGAGTTATTTATACACACACAATTCATCATGAGCAGACGATTGTTGTGGTTGGTTTGATTGATCCCTATTTAGCTTCAAAGAATATGCTTCAAACCACTAGAACTTGACTAAACCATTGACTCTTATAATTATGATGACATAAATTTGGAAAAAAAAACTTACACATCTTTTCCAGCAACAATGCCAAGCAGATGTATTGTGGCAATTCATTCCAAGATTTGAAAGAACAGTATCGAAAGGAACATGTCGACCATACCAGGGTTCAAATCGTGGTTATTAGATTTCAGACTGTCGATGCCTCAATGAATACCTTTAAAGCGTCACAAAGTTATTTTAGGAAAATAAATAAAATAGAATTCTTATGTCTTGTGTCACATGAGTTCTCATTTTTGATAGTTTTGTAATAACATTCTTCTGACATTGCCTAGGGAAATGCTTTGAAACTAGCCAATGGCTGTTTACTAAATAGCTCTTTTTAGCCAGAAAAGATGACAAGAAGAGAAGAAAAAAAAACAAAAAAATCAGTTTCAATTTAAAATATATGCTCGTCTAATACGTCATTGGTGTTGTCGTCGGTGTCGCCGTCATTGTCGTCGTCGTTGTCGTCGTCTGTCAAGACATTTAATCCATTCAAACATTCTTAAAGATATCAACGGGAAACTTAGAATACTTGCTTTGATTATAAGTCAGAGAGCATATATCTGAAGCTTTATTTCAAGAATTATGCCGCTTTTACTCAGACTTTGGTTAGAATGGTATTTAAACTGTAGAAGAGATCAATATGACATTTAAATGCATGTTAATCATGATAAGTCTCATATGTACGGCGGGCGACACTAATATAAACGCTTGATGTTGGAGGTTTTGCCCCCTTTTTCAACTAAAAATTGCTTACTTAACAGAATGATTTCAAAACTATCTGCGAAAAATATTATTATGAAACTGTTTTAAGGATTCTGTAGTTCTCTATTTTGGATATTAACATGACAATTCGCAATTTTAAAACAAGGGGCAGTAATTTGAAAACAATGTTTTTTGTAGTTAAGCCCCTTTTTGATTTAAGAAAGAAATAAAACAATGGATATTTATAGGGGTTGCTCTCAACGGACGAGAGCTTATCCCGCATGTGGTGCTCTTGTTATTTAATAATAATAAAAGAAATACGCAGATAAAGTTAATTGGGCGATAGTAAATCTATAGCAAACATTTATCCATGTATGAAGTTATACAGGCAATGATACTATGACCAACAATACATCTTAATTATAGCAGGAATGAATAAATGCTTAGCGTGGTTTCATACTGTCACCTAGTTTCTATTAAAAAAGGACTAAACATAATAAACAAATGTCAATTGCAACACAAAGAAAAGTTATTTGCGTTATTTGGAATTACGCATCATGTCCAATATATTATGTAAGGTACGGAATATCTGAGCAATACCTTTACATATATAAGAAAATATAGATTTATAAAATTAAATGTATAATTATCATCATTATAAAACTGATTTATTGTTTTATATCCATTTAAAAATATCAACAAACATAAAATTAATTTGTATATTAAAATAATGCGATTTAAGTAGCTTGTAAAAAAACTAAATAATATTATGATATATTGCCTTATACACAAGAGGGACATGCTCTTTGATGTTTTAAAGTATCCAAGTGTAAGCTCTATTACATTACTTCAATTACATTACTTTACCTCGGCATATAGTTGCAAATGTCCATCACTTGTGTAATTCAATTAGTTTAAACATATTTTATTTCTCAGAATATATATACATATTATAATTCACAATATACAGAGAGCAATTCAAACATTCTTTAAAAAACAGGATTAGAATGAAAGACAATTCAATTCAATAAAGCGTACATGAATAAATTTGATTAAATATTTTGAATCAATTCTTCTGGCGCCTATTATTTTACAAGAAAGATTTGTCAGGAATTTATTCCATTATGCAATACATTAGCATGTCATTTTTTATGACTGCGTGCAACAATTTTAATAACATCGTATTTCCAATTGTTCTAGAGAAATAATGTACAGCATTACTAATGTCATTAACCTTAAATAAAGTTAAACCATGAACAAGTTGATTTATAACCATTAACAAGTTGATTATAATCTTAATTTTTGAGGTAAAATCATTTGTTGCCTTTAGTCAATATAAAAAACCTCTTGTAAAAATGAGAGTTTTACCATAATATAACCTATCCTGGATGACTTTGAATGACTTTGAATTAAAATCATATCAGTAATGATATATGCTGGAGATGGGAATCGGTGACGCTCATGTGAGTTAGTGTTATACAAATTTCTAACAATACTGTGTAAACTTTGCTTAGATATTCAAAACGATGTTTTAACATGACTCCTAAGGTATACAAACCAAAGGCCAGGTATGTTTACAGTATGATTCAATCGCGATGTGACAAATTGAAAAACTATTGACATAATTCCAAATGCTAAGATTTACACGTAAAGTTAATATGTATTTTTAAAGTAGACTGATTTGACATAGTGAAATAAATATTTTATATTGGACAGATGAATCAATGCACGTTGAACTACTTGTACAAACTGCCGCAAATGTACTATAATCTTTATATTAAGCAAGGTTTGGCTACATATAAAACGATAACACGACTAACACTTCTGATATTATAGCAAAATTATAACAATAATTACTGACGTGTTATCTTACTGTTACTTTGATGCTGAACAGTAAAGCATATAAACATGCATAATTTAGCGAGCTTAAAAGCAACGGACGTTGATTTATGTTAAAGATAACGATTATCTTAATTAGCAGATTACATCGTTAACATTATAAATACACTGAACAATGCAAAAGGTATGAAATTTCAAAATCTAATTTTAAAAATTGCTTTATTCAAAAAATTTATAAAAAATGTTTTTTGTTCTGGGTTTTTAAATCAGGCCTTTAAGGGTTTTTCGGTGCCCAAATTGCTCTTTTCATACATTTTATTTTTTTGGGAATATGGAAACCCTTTTAGAGACAAAAAAACGTTTATTTTAAACTAAACTTGAAAACCCCGGGGCACGAAAAGTGCCAAAATTAAAATGATGAAATTTATAAGATAAAAAACCCGAAAAATCGTTTTATAAAAAATATTAAAGGATTTGGGTTAACTTTAAACCCATCATAAAAGAACGGAATGCAACAATATTGACGTTTCTGTGAATTGTAAATTTAAGGCAGTTCTAGTTTACCGACAGATTCCCTAATTCTCTGTCATTATTCCCTTGAACTCGACAACTTCATTTGATTCCAATTAAGCACGAATTGTCAGTATTAAATTGCTATAATATAGGTAAAGTATGCCGAAACAACACCGTTAGAAATATGTTTTACTGTTATAATCTAATGACGGTTACATGTATATTTTAGTAGTAGAAAACATATGCGTATATATTCAAATCAGTTTATGAATCTAATAGTATATGCATATACATTTCCATCAGTATAGTTTTTAAAATAATAGTAAATGCGATTTCATTTAAAAACAAATAAAATTTGGCCAAAAGTATTAAGGGAATAAATATAACGTATCAACTTGATAGCATTCCGAAGTCATATGTGTGGTGATTTGATGACAATTAATGGTTTAAACACGTTAGCTTCACACATTATCAGGTGTTATCAGGTGCCTAGCACTGAACTACTATTTTTGTCTTCTCATATATCACTACAATGTCCAGAAGAATCTTTTACCAAATGCTTAATAAAGAAAATCGGCTTAAAATCACACCGAAAAAGAAGTAACGGGGATAACAAGTATGCATGAAAGGCACGGCGAACGAAACAAGCGTAGTTTGTCGAAAAACCTAATCTTTATGTATTAAGTGATACATGAAACTGATGTAAACTTCGTAATAAATAAATATTGCATTGGAACTTGGTCCTGCGATTGATTGTTACTTGACAAATTGTCTGAATTAAATTAAGATAAAAAAATATTGAAAAAAAAAAAACTTAATTCTGTCGTTAACTTTTCTGTTATTTAACCAGGATAAATGAAACACTTTGCATTTTATATCAAAGACTGAGCAAGACATTTCAGTTTGTTGAATCTAGTGTCTTAATTGAAGTTGTCTGGCAGATGTCATGATAAATACATCCCTTTTAACAAAAAATAAAACAATATTACATTTAACGTCAAATATTCTTCAATTTTATCTCAGTTTGCAAATTTGAAGCGCACGGAATAAATAGTGGACAATTTGATGTTTAAATCTATTTATTTATGCTGCATGAACAAGTGTAAGTATGCAAAGAATACGTTTAAACTTTTAACAAAAGTACATTTTGACATTAATACGGTGTTTGTTTAAAGCCATTTACACAGTACGCTTGTTACATTACTTGATCCTGATACCGTTTAAAAATTGCATAACTTTATCCCTCTGGATTTCTAGTTACGTTAATTAGTAATCTACAATGTTTTTTTTTTTATTTTGATTCGATAATGTTATATATGTTTTTTTTATTCCTACTCAATTGGTATCCTTACGTGTATGTTATGCAGGTGTTCGTGTATGTCATATATCCCTTTTTACATTGACAGTCTTTTATTAATCATAATATTACGTTTAATTTTGTATTTAATTAGATTATTTTATTAAATTGATGTTCGCTTAAAAACGAATATACAATTCCATTTTATGTTATTTAATCAGGATAAACAAAACACGTTGCTTGTGAACATGAGTTTAGTCTGCTAAAGCGTGTATGTTATCAAACTGTGTTGTTTTTTCCTTAGTCATCAATGGACGCATATAGGAACTGTCAGAATAATACCATTTTTATAATGATATCAATATGTTGAAATCAAGAAGATAACGTATTATCATGTAAACTTATTTGTGTACGTTTTTTAATCAAACCCTTTTAAATAATTCCTTGTCAAATTTCATATTTTAATAAAATGTATAATTTATGTAAATATGCCCTCTCGTGTTCGAAGGCCTACTCGTTTGCTTGTCGTTGGTCTTCTGTTGCTGGTTAATGTAAATATCTGCGTTTACTTCATGTTGCCTGTCTTTCTTGATGCATTGGCCTTATGTCTTCACCATATTTTATTATTACAAATATAATATTTATAAGCCATGTATTACAATTGTTTTAAACAAAAATGAAGAAATAAATGTTGCATCAAAAACGTGTGTTTAATATAAACTTTTCTGTTTTTGATGCATATTATGTTAGATTTATTTATACGACTGCTAATCAAACTGCACGTTCACATTTTCTAAAAGTAGTTTATTTGATTCGTTTTGACATATGTTGTCTCGTTACTTGTAAAAATAGCTTTTCTCTTATAACATAA